CCTCCCAGAGCCCGAAACCTTGTACCCGACCTTGGACTTCGAGACTCTAGGGTCAAGGCCCAAGACACTTAGCCCAAAGAATCCCGCCCTGCCCTGCCCTGCCCTGCCCTGCCCTGCCCTGCTCTGCCCTGCCCTGCCCTGCCCTGCCCTGCCCTGCCCTGCCCTGCCCTGCCCTGCCCTGCCCTGCCCTGCCCTGCCCTGCCCTGCACTGTTTTGTCCTGCCCGCCTGTTTTGCACTTCCGTGTACTCTCCTCGGCTTTTGGCGTGATGGGAGAGCTCTGCCTGTAAAGCTGTTGTGCGGACTTGTTTGAGTTAAGCCTGAACCGCAAAATGGAGTTGGGTGGTTGGCTGCCTTAGACTGCGTGGGGTGGGAGAGAAAACAGGGCAAGCCTTCCATAGACGACAGCCTTGGACAGCTCATCGCCACAAAACACACTCGATACGACCTTGTCGCAAGATACAGCCGCCTACGCGCTATTCCACGGCAAACCCTAAACCCTAAACCAACTTCTCACCGGGATTCCAACCAAAAAATCATAATTCCCAAAGCTCAGACTCCAAGGAGACGTGCCAATGCAGAGTGCCCGGGGGAGACCAGATCTCTGCCGCTTGATGTACTGCATGTTATAGAGTAATATAATAGATCATAAAAAACAAATAAATAAATAAATAGATAAATAGATAAATACAAAAATAAATAAATAAAAGATATATATATATATATACATGTACATATATTTATATTTATTTATTTTTCTGAAAAAAGTAACACATAGGAAGTAGTATACAGTAAGAAATAGTAATTAGTGATATGTGATTTCCGATTGATTTTGATCTCCCTGGCAGTGGCAGTCCTTGCTGCTGTCGTGGTGGTGGTGCTGCTTGCGTTATGCAATAGTAGCGTCGCCGTCAGTGGAAGCAGCAGAGCAGTCTTGGTCGCTGCTAGGGTCTTTGGAGAACACAAAGAACCCAGAAACCATAAGCCCTAAACCCTAAGAGCCCAGGTGCAGGGCTGCCCTTACGGCAGGAACATGGCAAATGGTCGGCCTTGTCAGAGCCAGCCAGACTACATCTCGCACCCTGGCTCGCAGGTTAACTTTCAAGATCCTAAAGCCTAGACCCGAAAGCCTAGACCCTAAAGCCTGAATCCCAAGCATGCAAAATCCAAAACCTTGAGCCCGAAGCCTATCGGGTTTGGGCTCGTCGTCTTTTGTGGCCCCCATCATAACATCCCGTGAAACCCTTGTAAAGCTTCATAGAACCCCAGTATATGTGATTATTGCGACCCACATTCGGTATTCTCCGAAGCTCCTTCCCGCCGTAAAACTCTACACCGATCAAGAAACACTGCAAAGGTTGGTGGTAGGAATTCAGGAATGGCTCTAACCTTGGCTTGTGCTTATCCTAAACAGGATCCAGCATCCAAATCTTTTTAACAAACACCGCCAAGTTGGGTATCGGCTGTACCTAAAAGCCCTGCTGAATTTACGAATCGGGGTCATTCGACGTCGAGATTGTGATTCATCAAAAACAAAGACAAACGTTGAATCCGAAAGCCCCAAGCTGTTTCTCTCCGACAGTCTCGTCCTGTCTTGCGTCGTTTTGGTCGTCAGTTCGGCACAACACGATGGTGCATGCCGTGTTTGGGTGTTGTAATTCATAGAACCATGCAAGCACTAGCTAAACCCTGAGCCCTAAAGCGCGAAGCCCTCAGCCCCTAATTCCAAAACACGATAAAACCCCAAAGCCGTTAGACACCAAAGCCTTCATGGCAACCCTTATAGCGCCCCTTACAGTCACCCTTACCCCCCGGAAAGATCCCAAAAGTAGAGCCCTCAAGGGGGTTCCTATAAAGTGCCCTTTAGTAACTTTAGTAGTTAGGGTCCAAACTTAGGGGATCTACTTTCTAGATCCTCCCGGGGGTCTGGCAACCCTTAAACTAGCTTTAGCGCTTTTGGCCCTAAACCCTAAACCCTAAACCCTAAAGGCCATAACCCTAAACCCTAAGCCCTAAAAACCTAAACCCTAAAGACCCTAACCCTAAACCCTAAACCCTAAACCCCTAAACCCTAAACCCTAAATCCTAAACCCGAAAACCCTAATAACCTAAACCCTAAAGACCCTAACCCTAAACCCTAAACCCTAAACCCTAAACCCTAAACCCTAAACCCTAAACCGCCCTCACAGAGCCCATCGGAGCCTTCGACAGGTACCGGATGTCCGGGGTGTGCCTGGAGCAGAGTGCCGAGGCTTCGGGGGTGGGTCTATTTAGGGTTTAGGGTTTAGGGTTTAGGGGTTTAGGGTTTAGGGTTTAGGGTCTAGGGTTTAGGGGTTCAGGGTTTAGGGTTTAGGGTTTAGGGTTATGGTATTGGAGGATCATGGGACTTAGTAAGTGAGGTTATAAGTCCCTTAATTGGGGTTATAGGTAAATATAAGTATAGTTACCTTAATTATAACACTACTTACTAAGTCCCATGATCCTACTCCTGATATTGGGGCCTTAATAGTTAGAATAGGGTCTCGGGGATTATTGTACTATACTTAGAATACCCTAAATTATAGGGCCTAGGCTTGAGATTTAGGGTTTCCTCGTCGCAGATTTGCAAGCAGCCACAGCCTCGACGGAGCGACTCCATTACAGACCCCGAACTGGGAGAAAGACAGCGGGGAATGTGGAAACAAGGGTCACCCACGATTTGCTCTCAAAATCCTCCAAGCCCTATTTTGCCTAAACCCTAAACCCTAAACCTTAAAGCCTAAACCCAAACTGAAAGCCCCAAGACCTGGCGTTTGCATCACCGTCCCTGGTGTCCTCCAGGAAATGCGAAACAACACTGCCTGGGCAAGCTGGGTCGATGCGATACGTGTCTTGGCTTAGGATCTTGCTCTAGATTGCGGTTTGGGGCTCGTTGTTGCGGGATCATGTTTTCAACTACTGGGGGCTGCTCAGAAGCAAGGGTAGATTAGTCAGGAGTTCTCGAAGAAGGATTCGAAAAGTTGGGGGTCTGTAGAAAGGGTGCGGTGCTAAGGATCCAATTCGGGTTGTCGTGGGGCTTCGGGGCCTGGCCTACTTCCTGAAACTCTAGCGAATGTCGTTGCATGCCGATGCTGCCCTTCTGATTCTGAAGGCCTCCATCGAAGCCCGGTATAGGTGCTGAAATAATTAGAACCCTGCTTTGGAATATAGTATAGTATCACTACATAGGGACTAGAAGGAACTATCATTGCCAACGCTAAGACGCAACTCGTGGGTTCTTAGCCTCCCATGTGATGCTTGGGAGTTGCCGAAACCTACGGGGGGGACCCGTCAAGAGTAGGATCCCTTGAGGAAAAGGACTCTCCGAAAAGTGACCTGCAACTTGCAGACTCCCCCAGGGTTTAGGGTTGTAGGGTTTAGGGTTTTAGAGTTTTAGGGTTTAAAGTTTAGGGTTTGGGGTTTAGAGTTTTAGGGTTTAAAGTTTAGGGTTTAGGGTTTGGGGTTTAGGGATTTGGGGTTGAAGGTTTTAGGGTGCAGGGGCCCCTTCGGTGCTACGTATCCCTGAGGTGCTTACGCCACAGAGGAGAATGCGGATCTGCCTGCGCAGGCTCGGACCGTTCATGGAAAATCTCCCCCCGAAGTCGCGGGGGAAAGCCTAGGCTCTGTGCAGAAAGACTCGAGAAACCCTAGAGAGCCCTATGTGCATCGATACAGCTGTGGTTCCTGTTTTTACGATTTTTTTGCGGGATTCCTCATTTTTTGACTATCCATCCATCCATCCGTTCATCTACGCAGTATGCACAGTACTCCCAGTTGATAAGACGAGAGCCTGAGAAAGGGGTGCTTTCGACTCATGCCAGACCCTAAACCATGCGCGTTGTGTGGCTGGCAGGAAGACGCACTTCTGCTCGCGGATGCGATGTGGGCCCCTTTGCTTCTCACTAGCCTCTTGTGCGAGCCTAATATAGAAAGAAGCCTAAATAATTACCTATAATATTCTCAGGGTTTAGGGTTTAGGGTTCCTTGTTATAATCATAGTATGGTGGGCCCCAAAACCCTAAACCCAAAACCCTAAACCCAAACCCTAGTCTAATTATTAAGGCCCCTTACATTAAGTGTAATGAGAGCCCGGGTTCCGAGACCTTTGCAAAAGAGGGACTTCTGCCCCGCAGACTTTTTTGCAACTCCGGAGACAGGCAAAGAGGGGGCAATGCCGGTTTAGGGTTTATGGTTTAGGGTTTAGGGTTTAGCCGATTTGGGCAGAGGGTTGCAAGATTTTTCGGGTTGCGCCTCAGACTTTCTTCCAAGAAAAAGCAGTCAATCTTCGGAAATCTTCAGGGCTTTCGGGCCACAGAGCCGTTTCGCTGAAACCCTGAGTCCGAGATATCCCTCCCGACTCCGAAACCCGACGTCCTGAACCCGAAGCGCTAAACCCTCATATAGAGGCCTTAATCATTACCTATACTATTTTGGGGGGTCCCTCTTATAATTCTAGTATAATATACCCCCAAACCCTATTCTACTCATTAAGGCCCCTATATTGAACCCTAAAACCAAAACCCGAAAACACCACCTTCCAAGGAGCACGGCTGCGGCTTCATTGCGAACCTCTCGAGTCAGAATGTCTCGTGGGGAAATTGCACCTCGGCTGAGATATCCCTGCGCGGGTTATATGGTGATATTCGTACAGCGTGTCAGCTGATATTGTTAGCTGGGCTGGTATCAGATGATATTGGATGATCTTGTATGAGATTATATTATGGTACAGTATGGCTTTTTAGAGTATATCACTGTATACTATATAATTTACTATAGCATATCTATACTATATAGTACTTGGTTATTCTAGTTTGTTGTCCCTGGGCTTAACAAAAGCACCGAACAGTTAGCAAAGGTAACCCCGAACCGTGAAAGAGCATTTACTATAGGGGCCTAAATAATTACCAATAGTATATTGGGGGTTCCTTACTATCCTTCCAGTATTATATACCCCCAAACCTTATTTTAATTATGGAGGCCCCTGCACTAAAAACCCTTATAATAACCCTTATAGTAGCCCTTTACAGGAACCCTATTTTAATGATTGAGGCTCCAAACCCTGAACCCTTAACCCTA